CAAACTCCATTTCTGGACGAAGCTTTCAATATCTGGGCAAGCGTTTCGAAACTATGAAACTTGTCAAACTGAAACTTCTACTTTTTCTTGCTACGGCTCTCATCACCAAATTTCAATTTAAAGTTTAAACATGCTACCAAATATAATTATTCCTTATAATTATATTTATTTAATATTAATAATTATAAAATTATAATTTTATATATTAAATATTATTCATAAGTATATTTTATTAAACATTTACGAAGTTTGGAAAAACAACTCAAATAAGATGAGATTAAAGATGTCCATATAAAAATATTTTTTCCTCCCATCTCATACTGAACTAAATAAAGTAACATTAAAATTCCTCTCCTCTTATTAATCATCATATTAAGCCAAATAAGATAATATTAAAAGTCCTCCCCTTCCTCCACCTCCCTTCCCCTCTATTAAAATCCTTCCTCTTCCCCTCACTCTATTGAGCCAAACATTGATTATTGTGGACCGATTTGGAAGAGGTGTGTTGTGAAAGATGGTTAAACCCTCACCAAAGAGAGAGGTTAATTAACGTACATCCTCACCTTTGATTAGTTCTATTGTAAACATTGATTATTGGTTAACGAGATTCATTTTTGTGCAGTGCATCTTACAGAAACTTATTGGTGTTACTTTAAACTTTAGTTTCTCCATATTTTACCGTAAGTGAGAAACCTATATATAGCTACTCACTTCATGGATTTGGGTGTCAGTTGTCCCCTCTGCTGTCCTCAATTTTTCCCTACTTCCCAAATTTTTTTCTTGTGTCTTTTTATCATTAAATTTTACATAAAATGAATAAATTTTTGATATCTGATGGGTTGAAAATGGGGCGATTTTTCATGCTTCTATGATTTTTTAAAGAATTTGTAAAAGAAGTTACACCAATATTGGAGCATCTATTTTTTTTTTGAAAAATCATAAAAATTTGAAAACTACGATATTTTTCTCATAGTAAGGTATTAAAATTTCATTCATTTTATGTAGAATCTAATACTAAAAATGGCAAGGAAAAAAACATTTGGAATTACAAGTAAATTAAGGGACAGCAAAGGAGGCAGCCGACATCCCAAATCCTCAATACACTGGGTTGGTGAAGCATCTCAGATGAATTCAAGCATATACCTGTGCGCGTGAATTTGTCACCTGCTAGTCAAAGCAAAGCTAGAATTCAGATGGCTTTAATTATCTCCCACGTTCATGAGATGCTACTGTTTCCCCTTTTATATATACTCCTCCGGTCCTTAATATAGGACCCAATTCTTGAGTTGGTTTTGGTCCTAAATATAAGACTCATTTCTCCTATTTATCAATTTTCTCTAAATTACCCCTATGGATACCCCTCAGCCATAGTCAAATAGAAGAGGAAGATGAGGTATTAAGAAAGATGATTATGGTGTTTTAGGAAAAATGTGTGATTTTTCTTATAATTAACTAACTTACCTAACTTCCTTAATCTAATCAAATTAGTTATGGGTCTTATATTTAAGGAGAGTATGATCACATCTCATATATATCCATGGAAGGAAGCATACATATATACATATATGTGTGTGTGTATTTACGGATTGTTGTTGTTGATGAAGAGGCATGGGTGAGTGGGATTGGGCGCTGTGCTTGTCACTTGAGTAGTCTCTTCTTGTGGACTACCCTTCTTTTCATTGTCTGTTCGACCCCGAGGAATTTAAAGAAAAAAGCTTTCATTATACGACAAACTTTTTTTAGGGTACTATGGCGAACTTTGAGGTCGAACAGGCAGCGAATCTGAGGTATCAGCAAGGGACTATACATTTGACAAGCTTCTGCGTACAATCCAGCATCACCCCTTCAATTCCTCACTCGATCGTCTCGTACGTTTTGGCTGGCAACAAACCTGTCAGGTACGTGCTCTCTCTCTCTCTCTCTCTCTCTCTCTCTCTAAAAGGTATAGATTAATATGATTGACCTCCTTTGACTTTATGTTTGCAAGCTGAGTTTGTTCATGCATATACCAGATTCTTGTCCCTAAGACACTTCCAACTACTTCATCAGAATATCAAAGAAAGGGGGTTAAGTCATTAAATTTGTTTGAAAAAGAATTCAAATTTATCCTTATTTGAAACCACGAATCATATCATGAAAAAGCGAAGAAAAATTGTACCAAACTTTGAATAACAGCAATATTGAAAAACATAATGCCTGAAGAGTGCCTTACAATAAGAATTATAGCGGTGTATATGAATGTGTTAAATTAATGTTGTTTGGGTGCGGATTTTGAATAAGAGTATATGATGCTTATACTCGTTTGTTCTTGAAAACAGATGCGTCTAAGAACAAATGAGTATAGTCCCATATATTTGTTTTTTTGAGCTGAATAGTACGAAAATTTTATCCCAAACCTTATAGGAAAATAACAGAGTATACTCGGAAAAACCAGGAAAAAAAAAAAACCAACAAAGCTTATCCGACAAAGTACAAACGTCATACGAGAATTGTATTCCAAACCTTATAGGAAAATAACAGAATACACTCGGAAAAACCAGAAAAAAGACCCAACAAAACTCACCCGACAAAGTACAAACAAATACAAACCAAAGAGGCCACACGTAATTAGCCTATACCAGTTTTTGTGACTGAACCAGAAAAAAGGGAAGAAATATCCTTTTGCAGGACAGAATTTTAAAGGGATGGTGGCCCTGTGAAAGCCATCCACATGGTACCATTCCCTTCATAACCAGCACTGCCAAACAATCTGCAGCCGCATTACCTCTCTTGGAAACCAAAGAGAGAGACCAGTTATTTGATGCATTCCAACGTTTGATGCACTGATCAAGAACCTCCTCACATTCACATTCCTTCAAGACCTGTTGCTTCAACCTACAAAATAACTCCTTACAATCAGTCTCAATAATAATTTGATCATTTGTAATGATTTCATGACAATTAAAGGCTTCTAAGGCTGCGAAGCATTCAGCCATAAAGGGGGAATTTGCTTTTACTTCCTTTCCAAATCCCCCTACAAACTCTCCTCTGCTACCCCATATATTTGTTTATTTTGAAAGAATATATGAGAGTAAGCACGTTATACTCATCTGTTGCCTATATCAGACAAATTTAAGTAGTTTTTCTTCTGTTTTACAAGAACAGACAAGTATTGTAGATGAAAATGATACATTTTGTTGTAGCGTTATTTTGGGAACTTTTTGTGTCTCTATCATAGGTCATTTACTCATTTGTGCAGCTAAAATTGGAGTGGAGTCCTCTTCATTAGTGTTTTATATAATTGCAAACATGATTTGATCTCAGTAGAAATGTAGCAGCTTTAGGGAATGATTTAGCACTCATCTTCATATAGCTTCTCCTTCTACTTGGTTGGAGACCTCACCATTTTACATACATTGTTGGCCAAAAAATTTACATGCTTTAATGAGTGAAGTATAGAATATAATTGCGCTTTAAAAAGGATTAAAATAATCGGATTGAAGAGTTCTAATGAGGTATATTATTGCTTTGCTATGTTTACTCCCTCTAGTAATAAATATTGAAAGTGGTTTATAATTAATACCGGATAGAGTATATATATGATTAAATGAAGAAATTGGAAGGCTTTGGCCAGCTTTGACCCCTTGTAATTGAGAACATTTACTTGATTAAAGTATTGAAATCTAGATTAAATATATTTGATTACGAAGTAATATTTTTTCAAATACAGAGGTATAGAGAGTAATGGAGAACATTTACCTTATTGTATATTTCCTCCGTTTTAATTTATAAACTATTTTTGGACCAAATTGCAAATACCAATAAACCTCATTAAATTAGTTCGTAATATTATTTTTTTTCCAAAAAGAAGTACTCTTCCGGTCCTTAATATAGAACCTAATTGTTGAGTTGATTTTGGTTCTAAATATAAGACCGATTTCTCATATTTATCAATTTTTTCTAAATTACCACTATAAATGCTCTCTCAACCATAATTAAGTAAGAAGAGGAAATGAGGAAATTAAAAAAATGATTATGATGTTTTAGGAAAAACATGTCATTTTTTTATAATTAACTAACTTACATAACTTTTTTAATTTAATCAAATTAGTTAAATAGATCTTATATTAGAGATCGGAGGAGTATAAACTTTGCGCCCTCCATTTAACAGTGACTTCTAATTAACTCACACTTCATTAGCGAAGTGAAGGGTTTTTTTAAGACAAAGTCATTAATGATCATTGTTCTCTTCAAAATTCGTAAATTATTCTGGAAAAAATGGTTTATACGAAATCGAAACAGAGGTCTAGAGAGTTGTATTCTTTCTGGCGAAAAAAACATATCTTTAAAAAATTATCTGGATGTGGAATAATTGAGAATTAAATTCGAACCAGTCAGGGTATTAAATTGTAAGCACCCACACATTTGTCTCTCTGAATGCCTCTTAACAAATCAAATGTGATTCAATTTCCGTCATCATTATTTACCAAAACTACTGTAGATGCTAGGGCTCCAACATAATATAGAGATTAATTATTTTTTTTTAAAATGCCCCCAATAAATAAAAAGACTTGACCTGAAATAAATAAAATTTTGAAAATACTAATAATAAATAATAATTGAGAGTAAAAGTGATAAAATGAAAATTTTTAAAAGTATGAATTAGATAAAAAATTAAATATAAATAATTTGTCATCATAAATTCAAAATTAAATCTTTTATGCAAAGGCTGAGATAAAGTACTCTCTATTGCATTGCACGTACACGTGGAGGTCCCACAAAAAAAATAAATTAATTAAACATCAAATAAAATAATAAAAACAAGCCCTCCTTTCCTCGCAAAACTATCTCAGCCTCACATAAATATCAGACTTACGAGCATCCAAAATATCTTCTTCCATTTCACCAAAAAACAAAAATATCTTCTTCCATAGTCATGCGCTCTTCCCGAACATTCCAGATTCCCATGGCTGCACGCATTTTCCTTTCCAGAACTCCCAATGGCTCTCTTCTCCTTATAAAAATACCCAGCCATCTCCATGGCTCCTTGCTTGTTTCCTTTCTTTCGTCAGTAACACAACCAGGGACTTCAAGTGTGAGATTTGAATAGCTCGGTGGCTTTTACGGTCATAGATTATGCCTTTCCATGGTTTTATGTGATTAACAAGTTGTTAGCTTGGTTGATAGATTTTGATGAACTTCTCGTTTAGCCGAATTGGAAGCTTGTGAGTTGAAAAACTGAAGATAAATGGAGATTGGTAGGGGAGGGTCGTCGTTCTCTTATTATACCATTCTTGGTATTAGTTCAGATTCAACCAGTACAGAAATAAGGAGAGCTTATCGCAAGCTTGCTCTGGTTAGTGGGTTCTCCTTTGTGTTTTGAAATTTTTAATTCCTTTAGGCCAAAAGTTTAGGGTTATAGATTTGGAAATTGACTCTTTTTTTTCTTAGGAGTTGGGAATTTCTGAGTTTGAATTATTTGAGGGTACTGATAGGAGGCGGTTTTATTGAATTTGATGCAGCAATGGCATCCAGACAGGTGGACAAGAACGCCTTCTTTGTTGAGTGAAGCCAAACAGAAATTTCAACAAATTCAAGAAGCTTATTCAGGTAGGGATTATTTGTTTTTCTGGGTCTTGATTGAGAATCACAATTTAAGACCCTTGGAGTCCAAAGTTCTGTTTTTGGTTTCTTTTATATCTTTGATGGCACATCGTGTATTGAACTCTGCTCTGGGTTCTTCTTGGAGCAGTTCTATCAGACCACAAGAAAAGAACAGTGTACGATGCAGGGTTATATGATCCTGAAGACGAAGATGAGGTGAGTGTCATGGAAATTTAATATGCGTTTCGAATGCACTTCTTCTTTGTCCTCCGCCTCCTAAACAAAAGATTTGTTTGATCTCTTGTTCAGGGATTTTCTGAATTTATGGAAGAGATGGTGTCTCTCATGGCTCAAGTGAGGAGGGAGGTGTGTCTCTTCTTCTACTTCACCATGGGCACTTACTATTAGTTGGCGTATTTGGAAAGATTGATTCAAAAAGCAATGCTCTTCTTCAATCTTCATTATTGTGCATTTACTTTTAAACTAAGATATCTCCCAAATCAAAATCCAAATTTTTCTTCGAAAGTGAAGGAATGGTTGCATAGGGTATAGAAATGAAATTCCTGAACGAACATGAAAAAGATGTTTGGTTGCAGGAAAAGGATTATTACAGTATGGAGGAGTTACAGAGCATGTTTACTGAGATGGCTCAAGATTTCAATCAGTCACCTTCATGGCGTTGCGGCGCCTCCGTTATTGATGAGTCCCCTCAATCCGCAAAGAGGATCCGTTTGGAAAAACATGGGAGAACCTAATACTAAATGTAATACCTACACGCTATCTCACTTGAATTGCAATTCAATACAATTGTTGATGCCAGTCTTCTTGTGGCTTGCTTGTTAAAATTTTTGCTCCAATGTGGCGGTGGTGATGATGAAGATGATGAAGAACATGTGGCTTTCGAGAGTGATTCTGAAGTCAGAAACCTGAAATGGAATGTAAATGAAGAACTCACATTTTCGACCTATAGGCCATTGGATTGTAATTGTTAGCGCCAGTTTTGTTATGAGAATAGGATGGAAGTGATTTTGTTTGTTTCTGGAGATTTTGATGAACATTTTGCTGAGAGAAAGGTTTGGGGAAATTTGCTGAATTCTATTTTTGGTTTGGGTTTGGCGGTGATGGCTCAATTTGTACTAAACTGTGAAAGTTGATGTCATGAGAGTCATATTATGGAGTGCTTGCTTCTTCTTTTTTTTTTTTTTGGGGGGGGGGGGGCTTGGGGGGCTTGCTTGTTTGAAAGGATGCTCATTTCTAAGTTTCTGATTTGGTGTTGTGTATTACGCACACACAAGATTAAGGGGAAATATCTTTGTTCAGAGCTTGTTAATGTGCTTATGTAAACTGTTTTTTGGTATGGCCAACTTATCATAATTTATTCAAATAATCATAGCTTTGTTTGTGAATGGATAAAATTTTGTAATTTAATTTAGAAATAAATATTTATTTAAATAATAGAGGGCAGGTTGGTCTGCCCATTAAAATGACCTATAAACGGTTTTTCTTTTCAATTGTGAGTACGTGAAAGTCTAAGTTGTAGAACTGGACCAGCTCAGCTTCTATTTTTTTTTTTTTTGGGTTAAAGTATAGGTGTCTTCTTATTAGAAGTAATCCTATTTAAGGTATTGTCGAGTGCTAAATATTGGCACCTTTGTAATCTTATTCGAGACATTATCGAGTATTAAATGTAGGTATCTCTTTCAGTCGAGGTTTGAATCTTAATTCGTCATGTTGTGAGGAATTAATCATTTCTGCTAGACTGGTAGCTCAGGTTCTTGTTATTTAGAGAGGAGTGATTGCAGGCTGGTCTGGGCCTGTGAAGAACTTGGGCTCTACTGCTCGGTTTAAATTTTATGGATTGGGCGCGCTCTTTAAATTTAATTTCCATCACGTCAGCCCAAAATAAGGGCATCAATGTTTTTGGGGTCAAAGTTGAAAATCTAATTCTATTTAAATAGATCAACCCATTCTAAGTCACCTAAAACGCAACAACCCAATCGACCCATTTGAGCACCCAAATAAAAATGAATTTTTTTCCCAAGCACACAAAAGGTCAACTCCGTTTTTTATGTTTGAAGTGTTTGTTTTTGTCTTCTTGGTAATTTTAAACTCAAATGGAGAGCAGTATAATTAACTGTGTGCAAAATATGACTAAGAAATTATTTAATTAACTAATTCCAAGTGACACGAGCCAAAAAGCTTAATTGTAAATCATTAGAAAAGTATGGTGTCTGCTTCATGCCTTCATCATTGGATATGTATATATGATCGAATAGAATAAAATAAATCATGGGGATGGAAGAGAACAGAGAGCATTATTCCTTACAAGTGTGGAGAAGCTCCCAAAAGGGATTGTTAAGTTAAAAATAAAAAATAAAATTATTTATTTGTCTGAATGAGGAAAATGGACCCAAAATATCAAAAGGGGGATTCTCACAACACATCACAAAGATGCCTTTATAAAAATGGGACGGTGAGGGAATCCATTCTTTTCATTTTCCTTTTGTCTGCTTTTTCTCCCTCCATTTCCTTTTTTTTAATTTTTTAAAGGAATGCCCCAACACTTTTCTTTTGGAGAAAAATATATTAGCTTTTCTAATTTTACCCAACTCAACAAACACTACATTCGAAACATATTGAACACCTCATGATCAAGACTCCCTAACAGTCTTTATTAAATATGCTTACAATATTAAAGGAAAAAAAATAAAAGAAGCGTATGATTAATTGATTGGCCAAATTGCTTGGTTTTCAATTAATTGTTTCCCTTTTTGAGCCAGCCAAAATGAACCAAAAATGAGTACTCATTTCTAATCAGACTAATTAGTCTAATTCAATTATAACAATAGTTAAAACACTCTATTTAATTGTCAATCTCCCCAAAAAAAAGGGGGGGGTCAAATTTTCATGAAAATTTGAGGTTTGAAGTATTGTTGCTTTATTTATGCACACACAAACAGAGAGGTGAGAAGAATAAGTCAAAAATTTAAAATAAAAATAAAAAAAAGAATAAAGGGCAATGAGAAAGGGAAGTGTGAATTGGGATGACTCAAAAGGTACACAAGTCCAGTGGGATGGTGACTTATAACTCCTTCTAATTGAAGGGTTATGACTTAAGAGTCCTACAAGACAAGACAAGGTCGGTGTATATACAGGAAATGTATGCATGTGCCCTCATTATTATTATATATGGTTAGAATCAAATGCATGTGCACAATGTTGATGTATCTATGACTTAATATTTACACCTCATTTGTTGTTTCTCTTTTTCTTTATTTAAATCAACTTTGAATCTTAAACATAATTTTTGATTGGTTCAGTTCCCTTAAGTAAACCTAAGAGGTCAAATAATGAAAATGTTAAAAAAAATATTAAAAATATTACTCTCAATTGAAGACAATATTTGGATTCGACTTGATATATTAGTCTATTTGATATAATATAATTATATAAAAATAAGAAAAAATGGCAAAAAAAGACTGTCGAAATGGAAAAGTTGTACACAGGAACCGGTTTATAAAAATTATTGTCAAACTTAAACTAATATTGTCATGAGTCGTTATTTACAATTTTTTTATTTCAGCCATTTTTTTACTATTTTTCCTAAAATAATTATTTTTTAGATCAAATCTTTTTTTATTGAAGATAATCTTATTCGAGATACTGTCAGATACTAAATACATAGCTTCTTTCAATAGGAATTCTATATAAAACAACTCTATTACAATGAATGTAAAGCTTTTTTTTTTTTAATCTCAAAAGGACAGAAGATTTTAATTTTCTATTGTAGAATAATAATGGATGGGAGGATAGTCAATGATATGGCTAGTTTTGATGGAAGCAGGGGATGGATCATGCATGTGGCAACATGCACAATACCCAAAAGAGAAGGTTTTGTCATGTGAATCAATAATAAAACCTTCACCATATTCACCTCAAAATGCTTTAATACTCTGTTTTTTTCACACATTATTTTTTCAGAACAACAAAAAAAAGGGTCTAAATACTCTGTTTTTGGGGTAATGAAGGAATCGCCTTTTCCCTTTTTGCAACCTATGATTATGGTTCCTATTATCTCTCACTTCAATCCTCAAACTACCTTTTTGCTGCTGATCATTGCATCGATTACTTCCCCTTTAAGCTTCTTAATTCACAACTGGAACTAACTTATAGATATGAAAGTTTATCCAAACAAAAAAAAAAACTTATAGATATGAAAGGCCATCATTTGTTAATCAAACATTAAACCCACTTGTGCCAGCAGAAAAGAAACATAATTCGCTTAAAAAGTTCGTCCAAACTTGATATAAATCACATTAAATAATCTTAAAATTCTTTTATTGAACTGAAGTTATATGGACATAAGATGACAATAAATCTGGTGGCAAAAGAAGACAACAATAAATCTATATCAAATGGATGGGTAAAGTACAATAAATATCATTAACTCACATTGCAGACTTAATAAAATGTCAAATTTCAACTGTCCAAATGTAAAATTTATTTAAAAAATTGGAAAAATATAAATTAAAATACCATATATATGACAGTTTTCAATTTTGATTTATAAAAAAGAGAACCAGACTTAACTCCAAAGGCATTTTGCTCTTTTTAAAGTTCCCATGCACCTCAAGTAACGTAAGAAAAGAAATCCCTCTCTCTCTCTCTCTCTAAAACCAAACTTCATCACATTACAGCTCACACCCACATCTCCTAAGTTTTGCAATTCTTCAGTCTCATTTCTGAGCATCAAATTCAGCTTCCAATGGCTCTCAATTTCATCTTCCTCCTCATTCTCTGTCTCACTGTTCCTCTCCAAGTCGTGTATTCTTCTAGGAAGTTGGATGAAACCACCGTGCCGGCCGGCGATCGGAAATGCTCGCCCTGTGGTGACTACAGCTCTCCACCACCCCCTCCTCCTGCGCTTCCACCGCCATCTCCGCCGCCTCCTTCCCCAAAGAAATCACCTTCACAGTATTGTCCGCCACCGCCACCGCCCCCTTCTTTCATCTACATAACCGGTCCTCCCAGCAACCTGTATCCGGTGGATGAGAACTTCAACAGCGCAAGTCGCCGGAGTTTTCTGCCGGCGGCAGCCGTATTGCCGGGCTTGTTGACCTTGCTTCTGGGCTTTTGGTGATCGTGAGGTATCAGTTAATCATGCCATCATACTCATGCCACTTCTGATCATTCTCGAGGCAGTAATATATAGAAGAGATCAATTCAGGAAAAATATGGCTTACATGTAATCAAGATTCAATTTTTAGGATATCTACATGGAGAATTTTATTGCTTTCTTCAGTTTTCTTACCTTTTTTGTGATCCCAATGTCCTCCAATAACCATCTTTCTGGAATTTGCTGTCAAACGTGTAAGCAATTAGTGCTTCTTATCTTTTTATTTTCACAATTATGTGTAGGGTCTTTCTATATATATAATTTTTTATGGGGTGTTAATTAGGGTGGATCCATTATATTTGGATGGAATTGGAGATCAATTCACTCATTACTTTTCCATAATGTCAAATTAAAGTGGTAATTCTCGGATCAAATTTTAGCATTTTCCCAAGATCTAAATTTGAGCGTAACATGTCATAAAAATAAAAAATAAACTTGAATATAACTATTGAACAAAAATGGATTCAGGCCAAACAAATTGATAAGGAAAGGGAAAATTTAGAAGAAATCAGAACATGCATAGGTTATGAACAACTTGAATTTTTTTTTTTTTTGAAGAAAAAAAACTTCATACAAAGTACAAATTACAGATAAGGATGGTCCAATGATGTTAGAGGGTAGGCTGGCTCTATCTATGCATTGCAAATGATAAGAATTGACAAATAAATAAATAGGTGAGTAGTAGTTAATATCTTTAACAAAAACTAACTGATAAATGGCCCCAGTGAATAAAATTAATTATTGTTCAGTCAGCTTAAGAATGGAATTAGTGTTTTGATTAAGTGGGAGTTAATGGTGATTAAACTCAAAAGTGGAGACTAGTGAGTGGGCAATGTCATGGTTGTGATGGAAGTGAGGTGTTACTTGTCCAATTTCCACCACAAAAAGATATATGAACTTTGATAGTTTCACCAAACAGTTAGTTGATGTTTGGTGATTTTTTTTATGACTTAATTTAATACTGATAATACATTTATTTTCATAATAAAATATGATCGCACGTACACTCTAAAAACTCAAATTGGAACAAGTAAAAATCATGTTTTATGATGAAATTTATATCATCTATAATTTAATATGGATGAACAAATTTAAAAAAATTTCAATAACAAATTTACGTTTTTAAAAGTTTCAGTTATGAGGTAAATTCATCTTAAATTCTACATTTGTTAAAACAAAAAAAATTAAAATTAGATCTAAACCACCTGAAATCAATTTGGATTACTTAAATTAAGATAAATATTTCATATTTTTGTTTTTAATGAGCGTGGTCCGAACCACTAGATCAATTTCAAATACTAACGTAAATGATAATTGTCAAAAAAATATGATACAGATGGATCAGACCCAAAGAGACAAAAAAAAAGGCCCATTTTATTAGTTCGTGAGGCCCAAGGAGCAATGCAGCAGATTGGGCATGGAGATCATAAAAGAAGTACACGAGATCGGAAAAATAAATAAATACCAAAAAAAAATGACAAAAAAAGAAGCTGAAAATTACTCCTCCGTCCTTTTAATATATGACCCAATTACTGAGTTGCTTTTAATCCTAAATATAAGATTTCTCATATTTATCAATTTTCTCTAAATTACCCCTATGAATACTTCCTCAACCATAATCAAGTAGAAGAGGGAAAGGAGGTGTTAAGAAAGATGATTATGGTATTTTAGGAAAAACGTGTCACATTTCTTATAATTAACTAACTTACCTGACTTTCTTAATCTAATCAAATCAGTTAAATGGGTCTTATATTAAAGACGGAAGAGTATTAAATCTCAAATTAGATTTGATAACAACACTTTATTTAGTACCAATAACACTGAATTTGTAAATGACAACAAATTTTTGTTGACACTTCTTATTTAACATTTAGTAATTTTCAGTATTTTTTTGTCATTTTATCTACCAAAAAAAAGTGAGGAAGATATGCAACATGAACTCGGCAGATTATGGGAAAAAAAAAATCCATTATCTTATTATTCTTTTATTGTCCCTGAATAACAAGTCCTTATGTTCATAAACCTCACCAAAGCACATAAAAACATAATGTATTAGATTGGCATTTATAATTAACTTTTTTTAAAAAAAATAATAGTTTTGACCTGACAGAAATTAGTCTTAAGTCTCAAATGACTTAAGCCTATTTTGAATTATACCAAAAGAAATATATGAAGGGTTTGTTTGTAAAATTATATATATAGGCACACACATATCAAAGCTTTGCCAAACGAATATGGGGCAGTTGAGGGAGAAAAACAGAAGAAACTGAAAGTGGTTTGAAAGGCTCAACCAATTTGGACATATGCAGTAGTGGTAGCTGTACCCACTCTCTTGCTTCAAAATAAGTCTTCGTTTTCAAAATCACGAACCAATCAAGACATTTTTCGCCAAATTTCACTTTTACTAAATTACTTAATTATAATATATATTATATGATTTGTCTAAAATATTTATATGGATCATTAGATTGTATACTAATTTATAAATAAGAAAAATTAATTTGAAGAAAAACGATAAATATAAATAGTTTAATTTAAAGTAATTTAATAACTTTCTTTATTTTTTCAAATTAATCAAATGGGTCTTACATTAAAGACTAAGCGTAGTATTACTCTCAAATTTCAAGTATATGAGCTAGTTGGAAGTTTATTTTGATATTAAATATAAAATTTTAGTCTATTTTATCTTTCACATTTATTTTTTTTTTCCCTCAAACTATCCATATTAATTATATATATTAAGATTGTTTCCATCAAGTGACATTTCTAAATTCAAACACAAACGATTAAATACGATATTGTAAGAAAAAAACCAACACACATTTTTAACAAACGAGTACCTTAATTATTTTTTTAATTTATATAAATTTGTTGTATAATTAGGGACCAGAAGAAATAATTTTTTCAGAAGAAAAATGAGACCATATTTACCAAGGTTACATGCCAAATATAACCGTAAGAGCACCCAACTAATTCCGATTAGGTTTTGATTAACTAATACTACCCCCAGTCCTATTTATAAGAAAACGAGGTCTCATAGTTAGAATTGGAGATAGTAATATGTACGACCTGAAGGGATTGGTTCAGTTAAAAGAATATATTATGTAGCGTCATATACTTCTTACATTGTTAATTTGGGTTTTACTTTTTTCCCTGAAATTATGTATGAATATAATATTCTGAGAATACTATATTGAAGAACGGTTATTTTTATGATTTTTTTTTAAAGGAAAAACTATCCGAATAAAGCTTCAGAATTTTCCTAATTCTACGTGAAAAATCATTAGGAGTTATCCAAATTCACTGTTTTAGTCTTTTAGATACAAGAAGGCTCTCCCAAATTGAACATGAAGAGCCGAAAATTGGAAATTTTAATACTACCTCCGGTGCTAATTATAACAGCTAGTTGATTAATTTGAGAAGATTAAGGAAGTAAGTTGAGTTAGTTATTTGTCCTAAATAGGTGTTGTCTTTCTTAAAATATCCTTACTAATCAAGTGTATTAACTAGAACTATAATTATTAGAAAGATTATCTTGAAAAAAATTAAATAAATATGAGAGACAAAATGAATTAGGGTCTTATATTTAGAATTAAAATAAAAATTAAATAAAATTTTATATTAAGAACTGGAGGTGATATTATGGCTGCGGCCATTAATTACAGTGGATGGTCAACTGGTCATGTCCTGATGGGCCAATATATGGTGGTTCTGTAATTCTGTTTGCTTTGGCCCACGAGTTTTAATCATCCTTTTTGTTTTTTATGGTAAGCATTTTTAATTTTCCAATTCCATTAAAGAAAGGAAAAATCCCATAAAATTACAACTTGAATTTTAAAATCTCAAATAAAAAATTATTATAAAATTATATTTTCATTTATGGTTCAAGTGTAATCAATTATTATTAAAGTGTAAAAAATAAGATTTATTTAAAATTTTAAAATTCAAATGGTATTTTTTAAAGAATTTTTTCTTAAAGAAACCATTATATATAGAGGAAAAACGCTCACACAGAAACACCCGTCCACCTCAAGAATCACATCTAAGACACGACGGAACATTAAATATGAGTACATTTTCCAACTAAAATTTAAATTTAAGTTTGTTATTGTAAGAAATTCACTTCCTTTGCTGGATCCAACTGTTCATTGAGTATATATTCCAAACACGTGGCGCTTTCCATGCTTCCAAACTTACAAATGCTGGCCACATTAGCAATTTTTAAATGACGTTGACTAGTTTGGCTCATTCAAGGGACCGGTAATTTTGGTGAACTACTGAGAATAACCCATACAAGGTTTTACAGTTTAACATTAAATTTGGGAAAGACATTACAAATTTTTATTCTTAGGCCTGCATTTGATTTCAGGCTCAATCTAAAAACAAATAAAAAAAGAAAAAATTGCAAAAAAGACCGTGAAATTAGAAAAATTACACATAGAAGCCGGTTAACAAAATTGTTATCAAAACTCACGCTAATACTGTCATGGGTCCTAATTTGCAATTTCTCTAATTTTATGGTCTTTTTTTGCAATTTTTCTAATAAAAAATTCTGCTAAGAAAATTATGAATAATACAGATAATTTTTTTAAAAAAAATTTGTGGGATGTACGATTTTCAAAATAACCCAATTATATTGACAGTGTTTTTGAAGTCCAAAAAAAAAAAATCAACATCTTTGATGTGCCCCCACCCACTACTCTACTGCTTTTTTGTTTTATCTTGACCAATTATATGCCATAAATCAAACCAAACTTCCATTAACGAGTCCTTTAAAAGGACCAAAGCGTCAATAAAGTGATTCAATTTGAAAGCCCTAAACCTGTGACTTCCTCACTTTTTTTCACTTTGCCTCCAACTTTCTTTTCAATACCCTCACTGGTCACTACCCTCTCTTCACTTCATCTTCAATCTTCATTCATCCATTATTATTCATTCACACATCTCACAACAAAACATCCACA